TATTGTATCTTTCTTTCTGCTCAGTTTGCTTTCTGTTCAGTTTGCTCTTTTCCTGGCATCTCAAGGTAGAAGTTTAGATTGATTTGAGGCCTTCCTTCTTTTCTAAAGCATTTGATAGTATCAGTTTCCCTGGAGCATTGATTTAGCTGCATTCTACAAATTTCAATATATTGTATTTTCATTTTTGTTTAATTCAAAATGTCTCCTAATTTCCCTTGAGGCTTCCTCTTTGATCAATGAATTGTTTAGAAATGTGTCATTTAATGTCCAAGTGTTTGTAGATTGTTCAGTTATTTTTTTTTTCTGTTATTGATTTTTAGTTTAGTTTCGTTATGGTCAGAGAACATAGTTTGGTTTCAGTTCTTCTAAATCTGTTAAAGTTTGTTTTGTGACCCAGGATATCTTATAAGTATTCCATGCTTGCTTAGTTACTGGGTAGTATTTTATAAATGTAAGTCAGATCCTGTTGGTGGATTGATGAAAGAGGAGTATTGATACCACCAAATATACTTGAGTTATTGTCCATTTCCTCCTTCAGTTCTATTAGTTTTTACTTTATGAATTTGAAGGCATGGTATTAGGTTTGTGTACATTAGGACCATAGAGTTTTCATTATGTAATGTCCCTCTGGGTCCTTGAATAATTCTCTTTGCGTTGTACTCTACAGTTTCTGGTATTATTTGCCATTTGAGCTTTCTTTTATTTGGTGTTCACATGGAATACATTTTTTCCTATTCTTTCATTTATTTATTTATTTTGGGGGGATATTGGAGATTGAACCCGGGGACACTGAACCACTGAGCCACATCCCTAGCCCATTTTGGCATTTTATGTAGAGACAGGGTCTCACTGAGTTGCTTAGTGCTTCACTTTTGCTTCTGCCTTGGCCTCCTGAGCCGTTGGGACTACAGGCATGTGCCACTGCACCCAGCTATTCTTTTACTTTTAACCTATCTCTATCATTATATTTAAAGTGAGTTTCTTGTGGGTGGCATAAAACTATTTTTAAAATCTGTTCTTACAATCTCTGTATTTTAATTGGTCTGTTTATTCCATTTACATTTAATATGTATGAAAGTGTTTTGATTTAGACCTATTTTTCATTCTTCTTTTTCCCTTTTCAAACCCCCTTTAGATTATTTGAATTATTTTATATTCCATTTAGACTTATGTAATTGTTTTTGGAACATATCTATTTGTATAGTTTTTTTAAAAAGATTACAAATTTTAAGTCGGTACTTTTGAGGTTACTACACACATCTACACATACAAGGAGCTTTACTACTGCTCATTTCCAGTATGTATTATATCAACATACACTGAAAACCCCACCTGATCCTGTTATAATTTTGTTTTCAACTGTCATATATAGATGTTTTAAAGAGCTAGGTATCCAGATATTTACCATTTGTTTTTCTTTCTTCCATTTCCAGAGTTCTGCATTCTCTTCTGGTATCATTTCCCTTCAGTCTGAAACACTTCCTTTATCATTTCTTTCAGAACAGTCATTGCCAATGTACCTATTTGCTTTCCCTTAATTTGAGAATGTCTTCATTTTACCTTTCTTTCTCAGGATATTTTTGGTGGATATAAAATTCTGCATGGTGATTTCTTTGAGCAGTTTAATATTTCCCCCTGCCCCTGTATTTAAAAAAAAATAATTTTAATTTGTTCTTTTTAGTTATAATGACAGTAGAATGTATTTTGGCACATCATACATACTAGTACATAGCCCCTATAGTTTTGATGGAAAGGTCAGCTGTCGTTTGAATCATTGTTCCTTCCCCATGTGTAATACATCAGTTTCCTCAGGCGTTCGAGAGTTGTTTTTGGTCTTTCTTCAGTGTTCATCAGTGTGTGAGGGTATGTTTCTTTCAGCTTATTTTGTTTAGTGTTTAGTAAGCTCCTTGAGTCTGCATATCTTATGCCTTTTTCCAAAATCAGAAAGTTGAAAAGTATCATTCCTTCAAATATTTTTTCTATATATTACTGCACTCTTTCACCAATTTTTCGTCTATTTTTTCAGACACTGTGGTGAATGTTGGATCTTTGGTGGTTGTCACAGAGGCTGGGCTAATTTGTTTCAAGTTTTCTTTTCCCTTTGTTTTCATATTGGATGGGTCTTGTTGATCTCTTTTCAAGTTCATCTCCATTTTTTTTAAAGCCCATCTACTCAACTTGTTATTTGGTTCTTGTATTTTTCAGTCTAAAAATTTCTGTTTGGCTCTCTTTTATGTTTCTTGACTGAGACTTTATATCTTTCTATTCATTTTGAGACTATTCATCCTGTGGCTTGGATCATGGTTTTACCTCTTGGAAATATCCTAGGCCTTTAAAAGGTTTTCCCTTTTGATATAGTCAAGTGCATTTATCTTCTTTTCACAAAAACCTGAACTTGACTTTATTATCCTTATGTTAGAATGAAGAAACCAAGGCTCAGAGGGGTAGCATGTCTAGGATTCAGTGTGTAACATGTACATTGAACTTAGTATTGTCACAAAGCCCCTCGTCTTTCTGGTTTGGCTGAGAACTGATCTTGAGTAGCGACTTTGTGAATGGGAAGGGGACAACAGACACATGACTTACAGTGTGGGCAGACACTGGGTTAGTAAACATCAGCTCTCTTTACATAATATAAATAGTCTTAAAAAGACTGTATTCATTTATTATTACTTCAAATTTATTTTATTTTTTATTAAGGAATTTAAATTTAAGAGATAAAAAGGGTATAGAGCATACTGCCAGATGAATGCCATTGTATCAAGCCAGTAAGCATGCATTCATAGCCCTGAATATACAGCGTGTTTTTAATTATAGTCACATTCTGTGCAGTAGATCACTAGAGCTTATTACTTCCGACTGAAACTTTGTCCCTTTGATTAACATCTTTCCTTTCCCCACTTACACCCTCCTTCCCCTGCCTTGTATTTAAATAGTAACCTGCCCTATAGAATCTATGCCATGGTATTATTTAACAATGCATCTTGATAATAATGAATAAGCCAAGTGGTCTCTCACTCTTTTTTTTGTGACTTTATAGTATTACATTGAGTGGATATATTATAATTTACTTAATGATGAACTAGTTGACTTTTAATAATTTAAATTAAAATAAATTTTGTTGTTGTTGTCAATGAGACCTTTAATTTATTTATATGTGGTGCTGAGAATTGAACCCAGTGCCTCACACATGCTAGGCAAGCACTCTACCACTGAGCCACAACCCCAGCCTCATTAATAATTTAAATTAACCATGGACTTTTTGACTTTAAAAACTTTTAAAAGTGAAGTATGACATACATATGGGAACATATACATGTGTGAACTAGTTCAATGACTTATCAAAGAAAGATCATATACTGTAACCGTCACCAATGACAAGAAATGGACCATTCAGTACCCAGATGTCTCCTCTGTGGCTCCTTCCAAATGCCATCCACTTTTTGTCTCTAAAGGTAACCACTACCCTGGACTGACTTTCAGTCCCTGCTTAGCCTGTGCCTCTGTCATTCTCTTTCTTGCGGTGCTAAGGAAGGGTATCTTTTTCGTAAGGCAGAGACTCAGAGGTAAAAAATGAAGCAGAGAAGGAGAATGTGGGGGACGGTGGAAGGACTCGGAGAAGATTTAGCTATTTAAGCATGCAGATATAAACATTTGAGGGAGGTGCTTTAGTGCGTATTCTGTTCTTGGAGTTAGGTTAGCCCTCCCAGAAATCTTGCAGACCAACCAATCCAAAGAAATCAAATATTTTCTTTTGACAGTGAGGTTTAGTGACAGATTACAGTCACTGGAGACACCATAGGGTAGGAGTCCCAGTCCTTGGCTGGTGGTGTGCTTTCATGGTGTGTTTCAGGACTGAGAGACTCTGGACACCAGATGTGGGCCAGTGCTTTTAGACATGGTAGGTTCTCAGGATCAGTCCTTCATACGCCCCCCTTCCCCAAGCTTTTATTTTTGACAAATTTCAAAATTTTATGGTAAAGTTGTAAAATGGTACAGCACTCTAGATTCTTCACCCAGATTGAACAGTTAATAATTTTTACATTTGTGTTCTCCCTTTTTGTCCTCTTTCCCCACTCAAGGGAGAGTTAGTTATGGATATCATGACACTCCCTTTAGTCTCTTAGAACGGGTCTCTTAGAATGTTATCCTACAAGATCAGAATGCTGTAACCTGATATCAAGTTGTTATTATCATCATATAACATTTTTTGAGATTCAGTTGCATGTAGTACTCATGCTTCTCTAACCTCCATCTAACACATTTCGCTTTAGATTGTCATCAAGATGTTTGAAGAGTTGAGGTCTGTTGTTTTGCAGAATGTCCTTCAACTTAAATTTGTCTGATTGACTCCTCTTCATTAGATTTGGGTTAATGGTTATAGACGGGAGCACTTTAGATAGAATTAATTGCTCTCAGTGATTTATTTCAGGAGACACGTGATGTCAGTTTGTCCCATCAATGTGATATTAGATATATTTTCTTGATTAAGCTGATACATTTCTAAGTTATAAAGGTACCTTTTCATTTGTAGGTACTAAGCCATCTGTGGGAGGATATTTTGGGACTGATATCCTATTCTCCAGTGATTTTTCGCCTGATGCCTTATATTACCTGAATCAATCATTGCTTTAGAAGTTGCATGATAGTGATTTTCTTTTTCTGTTATTCTTCATTTATTTACTGGGTTTCTTTTGTAAAGGAGACTCCCCTTTTCCTTTCTTCCTTCCCCATCTCATTCTTTCTTATCATGTGGACTCATGAATTTTTTTTTATTTAGTTGTTCTTCATTTCTGTCATTCATTTTTATGCTCAAATTTGGCTGGTGGGACCTACTTAATTTTCTGGGTTGACATTACTGTAGCAAAGGTAAACTCTCTGTATTTAACATTTGAATTCATTTTGTAGCCTTGGAAGCTGTGGGTATTAATATAGGACTCATCAGTTAGATGCTCTGCCTTTTGTTTGCCTTAGATAACCTTTCTGTGCTCATTTTCCAGCAAATCACTGAGTTGAAGAAAGAAAACTTTAACCTGAAGCTCCGCATCTATTTCCTCGAGGAGAGGCTGCAACAGGAACTTGATGGCCCCACTGAACACGTCTACAAAACTGTGAGTGGCCCACTTCTGCTGTCTTCCCTGTGTCTGTTCTCACAGTCATTCCAAGCAGATATTTGATTGATTTTGTTCCTAGAGTTGGCATGAATAGATGGAGATGCTAGCATTCAATTTGGATTGATTACGGGGAGCATAAAGATACTAGGCTGACCCTCATGTTAAGCAAATAGGTACATGATTAATTTTAAGGAAGTCTTTTACTCTCTCTTAAACATCAGAATTCTGAGCCACTGTCTTTTTATCTCAGTTGCCTTTTTATAATTATTTACTTGGAAGCAGGCAGTGGAATGATAGAATGGCTTTGGATTTAAGTCCTACTGTTACCAATTAACTGGGGTAACTTCAGGCAAGTCACTTTAGCTCTCTGGGCTTGTTTCCAGAGTTGAGTGATAATCCCTGTGTCATAGAGTTGTTTGTGTGGATTAAAAAGGGATGACAGATGGAAAGCTCCGGCACAGGGTCAGTGCTGGATAATTATCAGCATAGTCTTATAGAGGCTTCCTTTGGCCACCCCAAGTTAGGATTGTCAGTTTTTCCTGTGATTTGACTCTTCTATATTCTCATGCTCTTGCTTAGAACTGTCAGGAAAAAAAAAAGTTTATTCCTATTTGAAGTCTTGACTAGATATCTTTATCTGAAAACAAACCTTGGCTCTGAGAGTTGAAAAAAGAACTTGGCTTTCTTGAAAAGACAGGAGTATGAACAATATTTCGGTGCCTCCTGTTTTTAGCTTTTTCTGGTAGATTAGCCCTTGGCCTGGGAATTATTCCATCTTTTCTCCTCTGAAGTTTATACCAGTGGAAACTTTTGAAGGAGGAAAAAGAACTCTCCTTGAATGTCAGTGGAGGAGCGTAAATGGGCTTTTCTTGAAGAGAGCTTGTACTGTCCTTTGCAGGAATTGAAAATCTCCCTTGTCCCTGAAGGCACAGTTTTCTTTCTTCATAGGGGTGGGGGTGCAAAGATGACAAGGCTGTCCTGTTTTCTTGAAGGGAATGGTGATGCAATCAGAATTTGAAAGAAAAAGGAGTAGTCTGAAACCTTTTTTTGTGTAAGTATTGTGGCCATGCATCTTAGAACTTCTGGGGTTATTGGAAGCCACACTGTCAGGCACCTGTCCGGCACCATCTTGGGTGTTTGTGCATCTCATGACAGCCCTGCGCAGTGGAGGTTATCCTCATCTTATAGGGGAGGAAACAGATGCTCAGGGAAGATCAGTAGCTTGGTTGATGTCATTTAGCAAGGTATGAGGCAGATTTTGAGTGCATATATGCTTACCTCAGTGTACCGTGTTGCTTCACCTGTTTTTTTCCCCTGTTGTCTGTGTAGATGGACTGATACAGTTACCTCCCTCCCAGTTAACTATGTGGGTAGGTGCACATGATTCAGAACTCATAAAACAGAAAAGGGACACACTGGAAAGGGTCCCTATATCTACTCAATATGATTGATTGATTGATTGTGTGTGTGTGTGTGCATGTGTATGAGTAAACCTGTTATACATAAGAACAAGCATGTTCTGCCGGTTCCTTCTTGCATTTTTCATTTAATTATGTCTTAGATATCTTTGTTTGTTTGTTTCTTTTTTTTTTTTGTAGCAGGGATTAAACCCAGGGGTGCTTAACCACTGAGCCATATCCCCAGCCTTTTATTTATTAAAAAAGATTTTGAGACAGGGTCTCATTAAGTCCTAGAACCTTGATAAGTTGCTGAGGCTGACTTTGAACTTGCAATCCTCCTGCACCAGCCTTCAAAGTCTCTGGGATTATAGGCATTTGTCATTGTGCCCAACACTTAGATATCTTTTCTTGGTAGTTTAAGAACTTTTTCATTTTTTATAGCCTTTTAATAGTCCATTTTATACTTAGAAAGTGTTCTGACTTTTAGTTTGGAAATCACTATCATTTATAACTTAAGATTATAACTTAAGATATTGGCCATGTCGGGTCTCCATGTTTAAATCTGCTAGGTTGGGTTCCATTTGGCTCATCACAAAACAGAGCTCTTAGAACATATCAGTCCACTCGGTCCCTGCAGCTCTGTTTTGTGAGAGCTGGGAAGGGCAAGCTGCATGTGGAGGGCGTTTCTACAGTTTCCATAGAGCCACGCTTGAGGCACTCAGTGTCCTGGCCTATTGCAAAGGTCAGTTTCTTTTAGGAAAAGTTCTGCCTCATAGGTGACATCTTCAGTTCCTGTTGTGCACAGTGAAGAGGGTAATGTTGACTTCCTGTGCCAGCTGAGTCAGCCCTCAGAGCCCCCAGGCACGTGGGCTTTGTGCTTTCCACTTGACACTCGAGGGGTCTGAGAAGCGGAGCATGGCTTTCTCACCCTGACCGTGTGCTGGAGAACAGGCACAGGCCACATCTCCAGATCTGTGCCTTCTGTGAGCATGAAGGCAGGGCCTGGAGCAGTCTTGTTTGCTCCAGTGTCCTCACTGTTTGTTCTGTCACAGGCCCAGGGGAAGTGCCTGCAACAGGAAGGAGTGAACAAGCGAGTGTCCTCTGACTGTAGTCTCCTTCTGGGGAAGTGTACAGGTGGAATTTGAACCTGTGGGTCCTTCTGGTCCCATGTTCAAGACTTCCATTTTGTTAGTACTTTCAACTTGGAGTGTTCATTCCATCAGAACTGCTTGGCAGGAAGAAGGGAGCAATGTCCTCTGAGATTATAAATTTTACTGGAAATAATAACAATGATAGATTATAATTATCAATAACTCTTATTATTATTACTATTATTATTATTATTAGGTAATTGGGATTGAACCCAGGGATATTTTACCACTGAGCTACAGCCCCAGTCCTTTTTAAAATTTCAAGACAGGGTCGAAGTTGATGAGGATCTTGCTGGATTTGTGATCCTCCTTCCTCAGCCTTCCTAGTCTTTGGGATTATAGGTGCATGCCACCACATCTGACTGGTTATTTTTAGTTGAAATAATATATGTGTCATGGAGTAGAATATAAAATTGTCACTAATTATTAAAATAAAACAGGAGAGTGAATTTAGAGGAATCTTGGAATGCGAACTCTGTACTCTGAACCCCTGTCTCTGCTGCATGCATTCTTCTCATCATTCTCTCTGGGATACATGAGGGGATAGGTTTGAGAAGCCCGCCATTGCTCCACTGTCTCATGTTGTGTTCTGTCTGTCTAAGATTCTGTCTGAATCTCACGTGAGTTGTGGTGTGTGAGGATGGTGTGTGTCTCACTTTGTTCCCGTCAATTAAGAGAAAGCTGGTTGGAGAACACTGTCCCTTAGTGTCAGCCTGCTCCATGCGGTGTGGCTTTTTTGTGAGTACCCTGAAATCTTATATCTAAGCCAGACAGACCATGATGTGGACTCCCACTTACCCGTTCCCAGGTTTTATTTATTTTGTTTAAGCTGTAGCATGTTCTCACTGCTACAACCACCACATGCATGATTATAAACAACCAGAAGTAATTGCCTGGAATGGTAAAAGCAAACTGTAAATTTGCTTGGCGGAAGGCAAACAATTTTTAAATCAGCCTCACTTGTATGACATTTATGCCTCGATATTTGAATGCTCTGGCTGTTAGAAGCTTGCAGCATTTACATAATTGTTCCAAGTCTAGAGAAACCCAGGGCTTTCTTTTGAGACCACCAGTGTTTAATAATTCCCTTTTCCCTGTGCCTTGAGGCTAATGAGGGCTTCGAGTCTAACATCTGCTGTTAAAGCGTTGCAGGGTCCGTCTGTGTGGGGGGCGGCTCGCCCACCGATGAGATCTCGAGTCTTACGCTGCTTCTTTTCTTTCCTTATCTGGAAGAACATCGAGCTCAAGGTGGAAGTAGAAAGTCTGAAGAGGGAGCTGCAGGAGAGAGAGCAGCTGCTCATCAAAGCCTCGTGAGTACCGTGGTGCTGCCCAGCTGGGAGGTCACCCGGGCTTTCCACGGTGGGCGCTCAGCTGGTCAGTAACTGCTTTTCTAAGCCAGTTGTTCTCTGACTGGCCTCCAAGGACTCCAAGGAAGTTTTGGTTTTATTTAATTACTAATTTTTCAATGAACTAGCCCAGAAAAACGAACAGGTCTTAAGTTCAGCATGGTGAATTTTCACCAAGCAAACACACCCGGGGAACCATCCAGACCAGGAGGAGAACACTATGGGTTTGAAGCCTCCTTGTGCTTCTCCCCAAGGTAGCCACTGTTTTGATCACTCTTGTCATGATTGCTTAGTTTTCCCTGGTTTTCAACTTCATATAATTGGAATTATACAATAATGTATTCTTTTGTGTCTAGCTTCTTTCCTTAACAATATATTTGTGAGATTCATCTGTTATTAATTATGTCAGTGGTTCATTCATTGTAATTGCTGTCAAAGTCAAGGGGGCACCGTGGCGCACACCTGTAATCCCAGGGAGGCTGAGTCAGGAGGATCGAGAGTTCAAAGCCAGCCTCAGGGAGGCTCTGAGCCTCAACTCAGTGAGACCTCGTCTCTAACTAAAATACAAAAAAGGGCTGGGGATGTGGCTCAGTGGCTGAGTGCCCCTGGGAAAAAAAAAAAGTTAAGGGGTCCTGGTGGGTGAGGCAAGGAAGCAGAGGGTGAGGTAACTATTTTAAAAAATCTGTTACAGGCCCTAGGATCCTTATAATGTTTTGTTTGAAAGGGGTTCTATTACTTAAAAAAAAATTGAAATATTTTAGTATTTCCATTAATGAGTTCAGTATTCAAAAGTTAATGTGTTTGTTGAACAACAGCACAGTTTAGAGAACACAGCCTGCAGTCAGCTGCTTCTCCATTCATCCATCAACATTTATTACGTAATGACTTGTGTCACACACTGAGGACCTGAAAAGAGACACTACCTCCCCCCAGCACTCACTGGAGCTGCTGAGTGGTTTATATTCTTGTGAATGAGTGGAGTGTGGAGGGGCAGTGATGGAGGGCATTTTGGGGGAAAGTGGGGCTCGATTTGTCTCCGAGAGAGTAGAATACGACTTCCCAGGGCTGCCTCCCTGAGGTGGGCTGGAAGCTCACGTGGGCATGCTCCCTTTACCATGGAAGCAGAGCTCCTGCTGGGCGTGGCAGGCTCTTTGGCTTGGGGCACAGCTGCTCCATGCCAGGCCAGGGTAGCTCCTCTCACTGCCATCGTCTGGCAGCTGGACATTGGTCTGTGTTGGCTTTGAGCAGATGAGAGGTTCCCAGGCCTGGGCTTCTCCTCTGAGCTATGCTAAACTTGCACAGGCAGCATTTTGTGAATGTGTAAATGAATAAATATAAGCAGATTAAAAGTCTTTGTTATTATTTATTTATTTGTTTATTTTTGGAAGCATGTCATTCTCAGCTGTGAGGCAAATCTACTTTCCTAGGCCTGGAGATCAATAATAGAATTTAGTGTGTTTCCTGTACATTGCAGGCCTTGTTATTAGCTGAGCATGTGCATAGGGAAACACCAGTTGACAAGGTCTCATGTGCACGCTTCAGGGACAGCACGCAGCATGGAGTGCTTGGGGCCTTGCACACAAGTTTGTGTGCATATATTTTCCAGTCTGCCCAGGCTGGTGTTCAAGGCCCTTTGCCATCTGACCAGCAGATGCTGTCTCTGCTGGATGGGTCAGCTGTTGTGTGCTGCACTGGACAAGGTTCCTGAGGTTGCAAAGTGATGATGAAGCTTAGGTTCTAGTGGAGCTGATGGCAGTCAAGTATTTGCAACAGTAAATGCATGAATGCAAATTGGGAAAAGAGCTATAAAGAGAAAATAAAGGGAGCTGTGGGGGTTTATAGTTGCGGGAGTAGATATGTAGGTACGTAACTGGGAAGATGAGCCTGTGAGGTGGCATTTGAAATGAAATCTGAGGCGGACGGAGGAATTGGCAGGTGAGTGGATGGAGAAGCGTTGAAGGAGAAGGGAATGCGTATATGTCTGAGGAAATGAGAAGTCTAGGACCCTAGTGATTTTGGTCTTTCCCCTAAGATCAAATGAGCAAGTGACACAATCTAGAGTTTTGCTCTTGAGAAGGTCACACTCTGTGCTGGAAGTGGGTGGTGGGGGGAGCGAAGGGGAAGCAAGGAGGCCAGTTAGGACGCTGTTCAGTGGGCCAGGTGAGAGCCAGGTGCTGAGTGGTGGTGGTGGGAAGGACACTTGGGCAAGCCCCCAGGCCTTGGTGTGAATGAGGAGGAGAGGGCAAGGCTGGTGCCTCCTGGGTTAAGAGCATGAGCTCTGCTCGGAAACGTCGCTGGGACTTCACCACTTTAGCCTCCTCTCCACCAGCTCTGCCCTGCTGCGTTGAGGGCTCCACTGGTGCTCCTGTTCTGGCGTTTTTGCCTCGCCCTGGCGGGCTCTTCCCCTTTTGGTCCCCCCAGCCCAGTGCCTTTCCCACTGCCTTGCCCTTGGAAAGGCTCTAATGTGGGTCACCGAGGCTCCTCCAATCCACGTCAGTCTCTTCAGACTCTGACATGTAAGTGCATACGATAAGTCCGTATGCACACCACTTTTGAGGTTAAGAACACTTTCACTCCCCTTGACATCCCATCATTATTCTGAGCAGAGCAAATCTCAAGGAGTACCCTCATTTTATAGAGGAGGGGATTTGGGCCTGGCAACAGGAAGGGTTCTAAGCCCTAGTCAGAAAGGTCGGAACGAGGGTGAGTTCCCCATCATGGAGCACAGCGCCAGGCTTCAGGTTTTGTTTTTTGATTTTCCTGCGTAGATGGAAGATACCTTTGCCAATATGCTTCCCTCAGCTCTCTTTTCCGCTGTATGATTTTTGGTGGGAGTGGAATATGGGACCTGCTATAGGAAAAGCCCTTGCTTTTCCCTGAAAACTATAATTAGAATGGAAAGAATCCAGAGAGAATGTTGAGGATACAGGGTAATGAGAAGAGAGCTGGGGTGTAGCTTCATGGTAGAGTGCCTGCTTAGTGTGCTCACTGGGGAAAAAAAAATAATGAGGGTAGTATTTCTAGAAGGTTCTTTCTTGTGTTGGGTAGAAAGCTAGATTAGACCCATTTCCCTATAGTCTCCTTGTCTCCCTGTATCTCCCTATCTACCTGTTAGCCCAGATTCTATAAGAAAAGCAAGGGTAGAAGGAGGGAACTAACAAGAGCTAGATCCTACTTTGTCCCAAATCCTGTTCCTAGCACTTAATGTGCTTTTTTCTGTTGATCTTCATAACAGTTATGTGAGCAGCCAGTGTTCCCATTTGAGTGAAGAGAAAATCGAGGCTCAGAGGAGAGGGGAAACTTGCCTGAGTTGGTCACTGAGCTGGGTCTGATCTGGCTCCAGAGCCCACTCTGCCTTGCTGTGAAGTAAACATATTTGTTTGCTCATTTTCCATTGTTATATTTATCAGTTACAATAAGGGGGCATTAAAAACAAAAGCAGTCATATTGTTGGGAGTAAATTTTATCTCCGTAGCTTTAAAACACGAACAAAAAATAATAATTCCATTAGCAGAGGAAAATTGTACCATACTGCTGAGTATAAATTTTATTGCTACAGTAACTGTAAAATACAAAGATGATAAATGAAAAGTTGGAACATTTATTATTGGGAATATATTTTATTGGTATAACTAAAACACAAACAAACTGAATAATACCAGTAGTTGTTAAAAATTGTAGTCAGCCTCTTGACAGTGTACATGATTCAGGCTGTAAAATGCCAAGGTTAGATGGGAGCTGGTGGAGGGAGGCTCTGCTCTGGTGGGTGGGGTGAGGGCAGGGGTTAAAGAGGGGAGCGATTTTATAGTGGAGGCTCCATAAAGCCCCAAGGGCTAAGACATTTGTGAGCCACCCATGGCAGGAACTTGGGGCCAGAAAAACCCTCTGTCTGTGGCACAGGATGGAGGGCACGGGATGGAGCGAGTCTGGCATCCTTTTAGCCTTCTCTCATGCCCCTCGAGGGGCCATAGAAATGATTGTAAGTCACTGTGAGTTTGCGCGAGTACTGAAACGAGTTAAGGGAGAGGTTGCCGAGGATACTTAATGGCATTAATCAGGAGGTGGAAATGATGGCCCTGGTTCTGGCTGGGGGGGTGAGCTATTCCAGCTCAGAGCCCAGCAGAGGGATGGCAGGAGACCTCCTGCAGCAGCTCAGCAGGGGCCTGTGCTGCTCTGGCCTCAGAGGCAGCAGCCTCAGTGTGGTGCAGAGCACTCAGATGGAGGAAGAGGCGCCCGCGTGTCAGCCATTAATTCTAAGAGGTAATCATCTCATTTTTCACATGAGGAAACTAAGGGGTAACAGGTAATTTACTGAGGCTAGGTAATGTACCCAGAGTCACACTGGCACTAGAATAGAGCGAGACTGTGGAAGCGGATCTGTGTAGCTTCAGAGCCCATGCTCTTTACTTGCAGTTGTTCACACTGAATTCCATTAACATGATATCACAACCCTGGGGCCTTCTCCAGCCTTATTGGGGAAAGGAAAAAACAGATATAAATAAGGTCTTTATTTGCAGGCAACTCCTTTTTGAGACTTGGACAGCAAATTGGCCCTCTTGACTCTCCATTGTTCTTGGTAAAACGGTCACATGGCCTAGATGTATGAGTGCCTGATCACAGGGTTCTCTGTTGGGGAAATTTTATATACCCCTAAAGTAGGACATGGGAGGCTAGTGGTGAAGACATTTTTTTCTGTTGCAGTTTTTCTGAGAAACAGCTTTAGGTGGAGCCATTTCCTCTGTTATCCTGCTTTCTGGAAACCTGCAATCATTTAGAGATCCGACACAGTCTGAGTCTGCAAATCCGTGTCTGACGCGTTTTATTGTGGAGTCAGTGGTTGTGGCCCACATCTGCCCGGGCACTATCCCCACACTGTTCAATGTGCAGAAGGATATTCCAGGGGCCACAGTGGTTGCCTTGTATGTTTTGTGTCATCTCCCTCTTTATTCCCTGAGAGGTAGCCTGAGCTGCAACAGATGGACCTAGCTGAATGTAAGGTGCTGTCCCCTCTTGCTGGTACAGTGTGACACTGCTTCTTAGCCCTCCAGATGCACTTTTCTTGCATTTGCTCCTTGGCATGTTGGTTGTTAGACCAGCTTTCCTGTACCCCTGGTGGACATGACGTGTGCCTGGTCAAGAACTTCCTGGTGGATATTCAGGCAGTAACTTCATGAGTCTTAAAAGTGTGCTTGCCCTTTGACCCATCAGTTCCCTTTCTAGGAATCTACCCCTAGGAAATCAATGGATGGTAGACATACAAGGATGCTTTTATCATAACACTGCTTGGCATATTAAACAATGGCACTAATGCTTATTGAATGCTTATTTCATACCAGCCACTGATCTCGGATTTTTATGAGTATTATCAAACATGTTAAATCAGAAACAATTTAAATATTTAAAATATAAGCAGTTGATTTAATAAATCATGTTATATTTTATACAGTAAGTTGATAGGTAGCTTTTAAAATAATGCTCTAAATTTCTACTTACTGACCCAGAAGCATATTTATAGTGTATTAAGTAATAAGGTCAGTTCACTGATATGTATTAAATGGTTCTGTTTGTGTACAAAATGTCTGAAAGGCTACATACTCAAATGTTGACTTTGTTATCCCGAGTGACAACTTTATGCATGCGTCTTACCTTTTTCTTATCTGTGTTTTGAAATTACATTAAAAAAAGAAAAAAGAATCTTGGCTTAGGGAGGTGGGAGAAATGACTAACAAATATTCCTTGTCTCTGGGGAGCTGCCAAAGTTACCCTCAGACTCTCACCCTAATGTGTTTTGCCCTCTGCCTTTTTCTGCAGCAAAGCAGTTGAGAGCTTAGCTGAAGGTGGTGGCTCTGAAATTCAGCGGGTGAAAGAAGATGCTCAGAAGAAGGTGCAGCAGGTGGAAGATCTCCTAACCAAGAGGATACTCCTTCTGGAAGGGGCAAGTCTGCAGACCTGAGGGACTGTGCTTCACACCGCGGGTTGATGAGTGATGGGCAGTGTTGTTCCTAGACTGTCAAGAGTTTCAGCAGTTGCTATAGGGCACCCTCACCCTTATTGAGCATCTCCTGAGTTTACTCCCCATTTTAGACACTTTATATATATAATTCATAACCATCATACCCTGAAAACTGGCTGCCATTGTCTTCATTCCTATATGAGACACTGAGGTTCAGAAAGAAATATTAACAGGTCCAAGTTAAATCCTAGATTTAGAGCTGTAACTGCTAGATTTTGAACCTGTGCTCTTTTGATCACACCACTCTGTTTACCATCTTGTTTGGTCCCTTTATTATAAAGATGAGGAAGCTGAGGCCCAGAGAAGGGGAATGACTTTCTTACCTAAAGCTAGCTGAGCCTGGAACCAGAAATCCTGGCCTTTAGCCATCACCTGCCTGTTCAGCCCCTGTCCCTCTGGCCTGACCTCATCCAACCATCCTGCCAGTGCCCACTGACTGTCCTTTCTCTCTGAGGCCCTGTGTGTAGCTTCTCCTTCTACTCATTCTCAGTTATGTGTTTCCTGTGATCATGATGCAAGCCAGGATGTTTCCTGGCTAAAAAATCCTGTGTGTGTCTGGGTTACAAAGTTTTCCTCCATTTTAACTATTATTAACTAATATGGGTTGAGCGTCCTTATCTGAAATGCTTGGGACCAAAAGTGTTTTGGATATGGGTTTTCTTTGGATTTTAGAATATTTGCATTTACATAATAAGATATCTTGGAGGTGGGACTTTTTTATTCTCAATATGCGGTCCATTTATATTTCATATAGTACATATATTTCATATATGCTTTAAGTACATAATTTCATACAGTATTTTTAGTGTGCTTGTGTTTTGACCATGTCACGTGAGGTCAGATGTGGAATTTTCCACTTGTGACATCATGTTGGTACTCAGAAAGTTTCAGATTTTGGAGCATTTAGAGTTTGGATTTTTTGATTAGGGATTCTCAGACTATTCTAATTATTTAATTCCTTGTCTTTGGAGTAGTTTGATCTCAATTTTTCTACCCAGAACTCTGGTATCTTTTTAGTGGATGCAAAGAGAAATGGCTCCAAAAAGCACTTCTGGATGTAAAAAGCAGAGTCTGTATTGAGCAGCTGCAGTTACCTGCTACTCAGGTTGTGTCATCAGCCCTTACCTTCCCTTGGGCCACACAGGCGTTAGGCTCAGAAAGAGCGAGAAACTATCTAAGCCAAAAGTGGTCGAGTGGGACCTTTAAAAGAAGGATTTTCTGGAATGTATGAAAATATAATTATGATGCTTTGAAGTGATGTGGCTTTTGATTTGGCCTCCTGGTTTCCCCAGTGTGTGCTTCCCTGTGTTTTGGCGTGCCACAACCTATCTTTGTCACCTTGGACGAGGCATTTGCCTTTCCTTTGCCTCTGCTTCTGTGAAGTGAAAAGAGTGCCTGCCGCCTGCTGTGTGGAGTAGAGGGAACCAGCATCAGCGGAGGCTGCTGGTGGGCGAGGCTCCCTCCCAGCGCTGCCTGTGCACACTGACCAGTTAATCCTTTCAGTAAACTGAGGAGGCAAATAGTTTTACCACCCTTTTTCTCCTTTCTTTCTTTTTAAAACAGATGATGAAGGAGGCAGAGTGGCTGAGTCACGGCTCCAGGTCCCCGGTGTACATGTCCGGTGGTCTGGCTGCCAACCCACATTCTAGAATGCTGTTCTGTACAGTTTTGGTTATAACATTTTAGGGTTGCTGAGGATCAAATGTGATATAAATAAAGCTTCTTGCTTAGAGCCTGGCATTTAGTAGGCACTTAGTAAATAGCAGGCTTTATTGTTTGTTGTCTTAGAATATGGGGTATGGTTTTTGCCAGCTTTCATTAGACTGACAGGCAAGCCTCCTGGGGAGACAGGCTTGGGGGGTACTGTGGAGAGAAAGGGCAGGGAGAAGGAAGCCAACGTCTTTTGCGCTTCCTGTGATGCAACATGTTTTGAACAGAGTTTCACAGCAGCTCTTTGATGAGATAGTGGTTATTCCTGTTCTACGGATTGGAAAGCTGGGGCTCAGAAAGGTTAAGGGACTATCTGAAGTCACATAACAAATAAGTAGGAAAGCTGGGTTTTCAACCCAGTTTGAGTTGATTTTATCTTTGCAATATAATCAGAGGCAGGGGGCTTTAATAGTTGGAGATTTAGGCCTGCTCCTAGGTTACTCGTGTGAGCACTGGAGCTTTTCCCCTAACACAGACACTGCATGGGTGATTTATATAATTTTCTTGGTGGATTCTCTGAGCTCTCAAGAAGAACACAGAGTTTTTCACCACCTAAATCACTTTGGAGATCTAGAAAATGTACTTTAGAATTGTGTAGTCATTATCTTAAAAAGAAATGGGGGTGGGGGGGTGGGCTGAATCTGTGTGGTGATCATGGTGACTCTTTGGAATTTATGTGTGTTTAGTATTGAGAGGCACATTTCCCCTTGTTCTCATTGAAGCTGTAAATATTGATCTGATTTTTCAAAACCAAAAGTACAGTTCTTGTAGAGTTGATTCTTTTCCATTGGAAATGCCTATTACTCTTCAGGACACAAGAGGGAAAAATGGCTGGCAAATGTATTTATTACCGATTCTTTCCATGTATAGTACAATTCAGGGAGGGGAAATGTGCCGGAGAAAAAGTCATAAATATTTATATTTTAATCCAATTTCCTTTCAAAATGTTCCCAATTGTATTGAAAAATTGCATCAAATGCATTTAATTTAACTCTAGGATGTGAAAGCCGCCCAAGCAGAACTGGAAAAGGCCTTTGCAGGAACAGAAACGGAGAAGGCTCTTCGGCTGAGTTTGGAAAGCAAGCTTTCAGAGATGAAGAAGATGCACAAGGGGGACTTGGAGATGGTCCTGGTTCTGGAAGAGAAGGACAGGTCTGGCTCTCATCCTGGTGAAATCCTACCGTCTCATTATCTGCAGCGTGGGGAAAGGATTGTTCCTTTCCTTCCCTTCTTTTCCTCCATTCCCTCCTTGTCCCAAGGCTGTGAGTGGCTTACTGGAACATCTCCAAAACAATAAGATAGCAAACTGGGGATGATATTGGGCAGGAAAGAAAAGGAATAGAATGTAACATGAGGCAGAAACAGTAGATAGCTGTTCACGTGGGTAAGTTCCATTTAGATACTAAATCTAGCATTCAGTGTTAGCTTTAAGATTCCTGGTAACCAAGGAAAAAAGGAAAAACAATTTTGGTGGACATGAGATTTGCATTCCTCCCTGGGTAAAACAAGCCAGTAGCTCAGAGGAAGCCCAGTTGTACTTGGCACTATCAGAGAAAAATTTCTCTTGTGGTTCTTTCCACGGGAAAAGTAAGTGACCATATCCTCATAATAAATACTAGTGAATTTTGTGTGACCTGTTTTCCATCATATCTTTGAATGCTGGCAGGAGGCCCAAATCGGTACAGTACAGGGAGCCAAAAGCAGAACAATGTCAATTAGATACAGAGTCTGCTGGAGTCCAGAGAAACAGTGGACAGTAGGCCTTTTGGCCATCTTTAGTGCTCATCATATTTTACAGCCAAACTTTTGATAAAAACTCGTTGGGAGAACGTTTATGTTTTATTTGTTACCATGAACCTTACATTTTGATACTCCTGCCCTGTGTTGGTAGTCACTAAATGGAAGGTTGAGTTAGTTAAATGTCAGTGAGACACTAGCTAACCAGTGACCTATCTGTCAAAGAGTCAAGCTTGTTTGGAATTTGATGGAAATTGTTCCAAAGTGAATGAACTAAATCAGGGAATACTGACTAGTTCCTTTCATTAAAAAAAAAAAAAAAAAAAAAAAAAAAGTCACTGGTGCCTCCTGCATTGAAACACCCCCTGCCCCCACAATATAGTTTAGTTCTTATGTCCAAATGCTGGTGGCTTTTACTTCTCTCTGGGTGCCATCTTTTGAGATTTGTGTCTGCTACTTACTTTCATTTATGGGTTGGAAAAAATCAGATGAGCAAACCTTTTGCGATTTCCTGTGAAAGAGGAGAGCCCGTGGTCTCCATGTTTAGGTGCTCTAGCTTCTGCGTTTGGAGAAGCTAGCATTGTTGAGCATGCTGTGGCCTTTTCTTCGCTTTGAAATTAAGTTTTGTGATGAGGAAACAGTTCTCTGTGGATCCCAGTGGAGGGAGTAGGGACCATCTCGGCTTACCATTTGAGTCCTGTGTTTTTCTTGATCACATTGCTAGGAAGAGAATCTTCCCTGGAGTGGGGTTTTATCCTAAGAGCTTGTAGAAGCCACTGAAGAGTTAGGGATGAGGTGCGGCATGACAGGATCAGGTTTAAATTTAGAGAAGCTGCCTTTGGGTCTGGTACAAGACTGGTTTTCAGGCTGATACAGACTTGCAGACAGGAGGTGATGTGACCAGCATGGGGGAGAGGTTGGAGTGGAGGAGAACAGGCAGAGATGGAGAAGGTACAGGGGATATGATGACCGAATGGATGTGGGCTGGGGGAAAAGGCTGCAGGCTGGGCTGTATCCTCTGGGCCAGGGTGGAGCCCGAGCAGCTGCGGGATGGGAGTGCAGTTTGCTGAGTTGGGGAAAAAGGGGAAAGAAGACGTGTGTTGGGGGGTGGGGGGGGGGAAGATGCTGCTTTCTTTCCGGACCCAGTGGGTTGAGGACTATGAGTGAGTGAGTGGGGCTGAGGAGGTAGGTGGATCAAGGCCGGATGGAGGATGAGTAGATTCATTCCTTAACCAGCTGCTGAGCTCGGCCTGGGGTGCGCATAGGAAACAGGAAGCACAGTCCTGTTTATTTGGAGCTCTGGGTGGAAGAGGCAAATTCAGGGCCCTGTGCTCAGCGAGGTGCAGGGAAGGCTCATCAGGGGAGGAATCCTGGAGGTGCTAGCTCAGGGAGTGGTGTGTGCAAAGCCTGTCACACAGCCTGATTGTGGAGTCCCCGATAAGTATTCCCGGTTCGAGTTGCTGCGGAAGCATGATTTCTTGTTTTGTTTGCTGGGGGAAGAGGGAATTTGGGAGGATGAGTACTTACTTTTGTCCAGCTGGTGGGTTCCCCGGGAATGTGGGTGGCCATTCAGAGCTTTGGTAAAGGCTTCATCTTCCTGGGGTTCCCGTAGTTCCGTCTAGATGGGCACAGAAATCTGGTTTGTCAGACTTGTGAATGTGTTTGTCTCAGGGGTAGAGGTGTCCCAGCTGCACTGCCAGAGACTGGCAGCCAGATGCCAACTCCAGATTTGTGTTCAGGATTTGACAGTCTTTATGGTGAAACTCTGGGGACACAGATCTGTGTGCTCCCTCTCTGAAATCAGTCCTGCCTACTAGGCTCTTGGGGGTCAAGAGGTTAGCACTGCATTAAGCAGGGGTCCCTGGTTACATCCTGGTGAGAGGGGTGCCAGAGTGACTCTCTGTTGGGCCTGGAGTTGGATCCTGAGGCCTGGCCCCTCACTTGGGTGGGCACTGCCAATATCTTCTGGGCTCCCGCCACCCCTTTTCAAAGACACAGGTTGTAGTTCTAGTTACTTTATTTCCTTCAGTCTGGCCTTTGAACTATTCGAATCTAAAAGGCAGTCAACTTTGGGGACCCTGCAAGTCGAATATGGCCTGCAGATATATTGTCTTTTCTTTGGTCTACACAGTAGTTTTAAGTTTGAATTAGTTGCCAATATCTAAAACAGACTTTCATGTAAAAGTCTGGATTTCCAGTTTCTCTTGAAAATCTCCGGATGCTGCCTTGCTGGGTCAAAGCTGCTGTTCCCTGTGGATGAGCCAGTCCTTCAGCTGGCCTCAGACTCCACAAGCCTGCCCCACTTTTTTCACTCCCTATCTGAAACTTGCTTTCTGGTAACTGAAAAAAATCAATTTTATTGAGTTATAAATTACATACAATACAAGGCATCCATTTAGAAGTGTGTTGTTGGGTGACTTTTTACCTCTCCATTGATGATGTGATGATTCCGAGCTAGACCCCTAGAGGGCAGTCTTACTCCTCCCTCCACATTTTTGGGGGCATTGTGCAGGTGCAGCCTGGTGCCCCATCCCAGTGCATTGCTAGCTGTTCCAGCTGCTGTGTCTCCTTCCTAGCCTTAGCTGGGGGTGCTGAGTGCTTCAAGAGGGCTGCTCTGCTGTGTTTCCAATCTTTTAATCTCTTACTAAAACTGAGTTGCTTCCTGGCTTAGCTGCAGAAAGCCTCTTCTGAGGTCCTCGGACAAAATGCTAATTGTTGAATGTTGAAAAAGGTAGTAATTTTAACAGCTGTCATTTGTTGAGTTCTGCCACAGGCCACGAGCTGTGAGGGTTGTGTTAAATGGCTTAACTGCAGTCCACATGAGCAAGTTATCCCTTTCATAGCCAAGGAAATGCAGGCTCAGAGAGGTCAGATGACTTGCTGTGGTTGGGGAGTGGTTGATATGGGGACTTTAGTGCTCAGAAAAGAATGTGTTCATTTCTCCCTGTTGGGGCCACTCAGGTTGTGGATGGCAAAGCTTTCCTTAAGGGGAAAATGCTTAACCAGTGTGACCGATGGGAGAGGGTGGGACAGGGCTGGGAAGGACATTCCAGGAGCAGCTTATACAAAGGGATGGAAGCACACAGTCTGGTTTGGGAGAGAGCCGGAAGTGAGGCTACTACCTAGCGGTGGAGGGTAATGGTTTCCTTTGAGATGAGACTGAGGCTTGGATTTCTTGTCCAAGAGTTTGGCCTTTAACTTGAAAGTCAGTGTGTTTAAAAGCTTTGCCCTGAGAAGCTGTGGAGGAATCCCCTTGTTTTCTCCACACTCACCAGAGCAGCTTTCCATCAGTTGTGTTTGCACAGACTTCTTTTGGAGGCCAGAAAAATATTAATCCATTGCTGTTGGTGGGGGCAGTTGAGGTCTTTGAATAGGGGTGTGATCTGACCAGTGTGGCTGCCCAGAGTTGGATTCACGGGGCCCAGGCTAGAGGCAAGGGGACCTGTTAATGTCATACTGATTCTGGCCTTTGACATCTGATCTGCAAGGTGTGTTTTTATTTTTGTTTAGTCACTGGACCTGTCTATTTTGAACATGTCTGGCTCCATTTCCTGCCTCCTCCTGCTCCACTGAGCTAAGAGAACAGCATAGAATTAATATTTAAATTTTGTTCTCTTTTAGACTGATTGAGGAGTTGAAGCTGTCTTTGAAGAGCAGAGAAGCTTTAATTCAGTGCCTTGAAGAGGAGAAATCTCAGACGGCATGTCTTGATGAGAATGTGTCATCTGGAGAGCTCCGAAGACACTCTGCTGCTCTGAGGGAGGAAAAGGAGAGAGATGCTGAGGTGAAGTGTCAGGGCACCAGGGGGCGCTTTACCAGATCCTACTCCTCTATGGGAGATGGACTGGCCTTCATTCTGTGTGGTTCATACATGGTCAGCTTCCAAATATGAGTCCTGTGAGCGAAGAATCAGCAGAAACAGCCTTTGTCAGGACCTGGCATTTTCTCTCTCCTCTCACATGAAGAGTTGGTTAGAAAAACTGCCCGCTGGTCTGTCTCATCATGTGTTAATCTGTCCTTGCCTGCGGACTCTGGTTTCATCATTGGGCTTTCTTAGAGTAGAACAGTGGTGCATTGTGCTTGTCTGTTTAACCTGTGTGGTGAGAGGCAGGCTTGAGGCCAGCTTTGGTCTGAAACTTCAGAGGTGGTGGGGGGACGGAAGTGAGCCCTGCTGGGCCTGGTGGCATGCGAGGGGTTCAGTGGACCACCTCATTCAGTCTTCCCAGCCACCTGGCCAGGAGGAGATCCCTGTCCCCTTTTGAGTTTAGAACCAGACTCAGAGGAGTTGTTATATTTTTCCAGGCTCTAAGAGGGGGGTTACTGATAGCTGACCCCAAACCCCTAGACCCCTGCCCTGACTCTAGGTGGCCTCCACAGCTACTGTTTGGAAGAGGGAGGTCAGGGCCAGGAAGTGCAGGTGGGTCTTGATCTAGACCTTCCATTCTTTCTTTCTTTCCTTTTTTTTTTTTTTTTAAAGTTGTAGGTGGACACAATACCTTTATTTTATGTATTCCTTTTTTTATGCGATGCTGAGGATCAAACCTCGTGCCTCACATGTGCTAGGCAAGTGGTCTACCACTGAGCTACATCCCCAGCCACTAGAGCTTCCATTCTTGCTGGAGCAAGGGTGGCTGCTGCATGCAGGGGGTTCACAGTGGGGCATGTTCTGGGTGCTTGTGAAGGTCTTGGTTCCTTTATGGAGCAGGGCCTTTGTCTCTGCCTTATCAGTGAGTTCTTTAGCCTTGCCAGGAAATGACATTGCCTCCTACTTCTCCTTTTAAGCCTCCTTTGCACTCCGCGGGGCAGAGAAAAGGAGAGAACCCTTGACTTAATGAATGCCACAGCAATGGGGAAAAGTAGGTTCATGAGGTGCTTGTTCTGCTTGTTTTAGGGAAGCTATTGTGGGTGCCGTCTCTCTGGGTCTAACGAATATCTTTTCTTAGGCTGCACAAATGGAGCATCAGAAGGAGAGAAGTCATTTTGAAGAAAGGATCCAGGTATATTGATACATTTTATTGAAGATTTCTCCTATTCTTGCTTCTTGTTTTATTCCAAGTGTGATAGACAATTCGGTGTATCTTTAGCAGTCAGTTATTGAATGCTCCTGGGTGCCATTAAACTTAAGAATCTTTAGAGGGAGTTTCTCAATCTTTGTGGTAACTCTGTGTAGACAGTCCTGTTTTACAGATATGGTATCTGAGACTAGGAAGGTGAGGTCACTTGCCCAGGATCACATAGCTGGTTAGACTATGGTGAGGACTCAGACCTGCCAGTCCACGGGCTCTCCCAGTCATGGTAGCTGGATTTGTGTTGTGCCCGCAGCATAGAAAGTGCTTTCATGTCCATTACCTCATTTGACCCTTACAGCAACCCAGGAGGGAGGCAGCAGTGATTATCTTTAGAAATAAACTTAAACTGTAAATGTGTAGTTTAGTCTCCATCAAACCAGATTCTCTGCTAGCTTTTGTAGCATTAAGGAATGAAATTAATGATCTGTTATTTCCCTCCAAATAACCTGGTACAGTTCAAAGACTCTGATGTGACTGTATTCAGATTTTGGAAGGCACTGGAGTCCTTCCCATAGGAATAGCTGTCATCATCTCAGCTGATCTGATCCCCTTCCCTTCACCCAGTCCTGTTGCCGAGAGCAGTAACACAGTAACTTGGAGCTGATGCCACTGCGTTCAGCTCGACTTGGAAACATTAATCACAGGTTGACAGGAATAAGATAGAATAACTGCATTTGAGTGTGCTCTTAAAGATATATTTACAGTGCATTTTGGTTGCAACGCATCAACTTAGTGAATCTTTTTCTAATCTAATTTAGGCACTTCAGAAGGACCTGAGAGAAAAGGAAAGAGAAATTGCTACAGAGAAGAAAAATAGTTTAAAGAGGGATAAAGCCATTCAGGGCCTAACCATGGCATTAAAATCAAAGGAAAAAGAGGTATGTCTGATACACTTGAGGTGAGATTTTTCTTTATTAGTTTCTGTCACTGGCCTGTTCTACCCTGAATTTTTAGCTTTAGGTAAAAAGTTCATAAGAGAGCTGAGGTAGTATAAAAAGTGGGGAAAGGATCCTTTATTTCATTGGAAATCCAGTGCGCCCAAGAAAAATATGTTAAACATGTAATTTAAATTTCCTAATAGTCACATAAAAAGAAGTATAAAGAAACATGTAAAATTAACTTTAATAATATATACATCCCAGATATCATTTCAATATAAAATCAATAAAACAAAGGTTATAATGAGACCTTTAGCCTTTTTCCCCAGAGTTTGAAGTCCAGATGTTCATCTCGTAGTGGTTGCCCTGGTGGACAGTTGTAGTCAAGATCTGATCTTTTGATGGTTAGTAGAAAATTGAGATAAAGGAGTTGATGAACCTGTGACTGGACCAGTTAAAGAGCCATCTGGTTGGTTGTCTTTGGGATCCAAGGAGATGGCTGATGGCTGTCTTCTTGTCATTGGAGCTATCAGTTGTGTCCCAGTGATATGCTAGGCGCTAGGCCCCACATGGAGGGGACACCTAGCTCTGCTCGCAAGTCCAGTGCAGAACCAAGAGTGATAGGTGTGATTGAGGGAGGTGCAGGGGCTGGGGTGGCAGAGGGTGGGGGACTCGATTCAGATTAGGTGTAGATGTGGGGCACAGGGAGTGTACTTAGGGGAGCAGATCCTGATCTGAATTTTAAAGAAGGAGAGTGTGGGTGTTAGATGGGAAGGAAGGCAGAGATGGGTGGCCATTTTGGACAGAGGGAAAATGTTGGTCAAGTCATAACAGGATTATAGGCCAGGGTGTGTGTATGGCACCAAAACCAGCCTGGGGCTGCCCGAACACAGAGTGGAGAACTTGTGTGAGGCGAAAGAAGAAGCTGGATTGGTTGCAGGGGCAGCCAGAGGAGGGGACTAAACGTATTTTCAGCTGCTCAGGGGGCATGCCACCGGGGGCTCTTGGGTAGGAGGGTGTGGTCCCATTTTCCTTTTAGATAGGCCTCTGCAATATTTGGAGAGTAAATTATAGGAGGGAGAGAATGGAGGCAGAGAGGTCAGGAGCCCTGGTGAGAGTCGTAATTGAAGATTAGAAATAAGGTTGTGGAAATCTAATGTTGGATGTTGGACTTCAGATAAGGGATAGTCAGGAGTGACTTTAGGTGTCTGACTTGCATGTCTAGGGACCTGGGGGTGCCACCAGCTCAGACCATAGCATAGAAAATGGAGTCTTGTGGTGAGCTGGGGCAGTGGTGTGGGTGATGGGCTGTTTAGAGAGTACTGGCCTGGGAGCCCTGGCTGAGCTGTCCAGGAGGCAGATGGATCTGCAAGTCTGTAAAGCGTGGAGAGCATGGTCAACCTGAAGAGCTGACTTGGAGTCACTCCCCTGTCTGCAGGTGGGCTTTAAAATCTGAGAGTTGGCCTGTTTACCCAAGGAGAGAGTAGAATGGGAAAGGAGACTGAGGGTGAGACTGCGGGGGACTGCAAAATTTCAGGGACAGGGTCAGGAGCGCACAAAGCAGGCAGCAGGAATGGTTGCAGGAGTAGGAGCCTGAGCAGGAAACGGGTGCTGATGAAGCTAAAGGAATGCAGGAGTTTGGTGCAACAGAGGTTTGGCTCCTAATAACAGCAGCCACCATTCTTGTCATGTGTTGGAAGTTCAGGGCCCAGCTGAAGCTGGAGACCTCACTGTGTTGGGGAACAGTTCTGGGTGCTAGCAAAGTATACCGTGTGGTCGTGGTAGTTCATAGCTGACCCTAGGGTATAGGAGGTGGTCACTAGAAGATGAAATTCTGGGACTAGCCAGGCCAGGTGGTTGGGTGGGTCATCTCTGTGGCCAGTAATAGTAGTAACACCTGGTATGAGCCAAGCACCATTTGAGCACGAGTGCATATTACCTCATTTAATTCTAACAACTCTATAGTTGGGTGAGTGGTGGTAACCTCATCTTATTAAGTACCGGAGGTGGGGTAGCTTTATCAAGAAAAGAGGTTTATTTAACTCACAGTTTTAAAGGCAGCCCCATACGTTCAGCCTTTCTTTTCTTTTTTTTTTTTTTAAGAAAGAGAGAGAGAGACAGAGAGAGAGAGAGAGAGAGAGAGAAAATTTTAATATTTATTTTTTAGTTTTCGGCGGACACAGCATCTTTGTTTGTATGTGGTGCTGAGGATGGAACCTGGGCCGCACGCACGCCAGGCAAGCGCGCTACTGCCTGAGCCACATCCCCAGCCCCGTTCAGCCTTTCTTGAGGGCCTAATGATGGTTGTTAGGAGCATGGTCAAGAGGAAGAGATCTCCAAACAGGAAGTCATAGAGAAACTAGGAGTCCAGAGTTCCTCCTAAGAGCTGACTTAAGGACCAGTTGATGTAAGGATCTCCCACTGAGCTACACCTCTTAAAGGACTCGCCTCCCAGTGTTGCCACACTGAGGACCAAGTTTCCAACACATGAACCATAGCTGAGGTTGAGAGAATTGGATCTTAAAGAGGTTAATTCATCCAGCTAGTCAACTAGAAATCCCACTCAGGTATTTTCTGACCACAGAGCCCTTGTATACACAATTGAGCAGGAAGAGCATTTGGGTTGAGCAGAGAGGAGAGCCCAGTTATATATTTGGCTGCCATTCCTTACTTTTTGCTAGATTGAAGAACTTAACTCTGAAATCAAAGAGCTCAGTGCTACCTTTGCTGAGGCCAAAGAGGCGCTGCAGAAAACACAGGAAGCACAGATCCTGAAATGCCAGGTGAGTGTTCACTTTAATTTCAGGGTGTGTTTACCTGCCCCCCCCC